GAATCCTCATCTTAGTTTAGTTTGAGGCAACTATAATTGAAAGAGATACCAACCTATTTTTATATTTTGTATGAATTCAGAAATCTGGTCAGCATTGTATGTGAAAGAACTATTAAGTTTGGACGAGTATTATAGATATAAATTGTTCTAGATATACCTGAAATGTAATTGAAATCGTAAACCGATAAAAGAGAACTACGAGTAACTTGATCTTATAACATGTCATTGCCCGTGAGCATTTGATCACTTTGAATTATTCACGCAAAACAATCCATAAAATTTTGCCAAATTCATTCAAAGAAATTCGTCAAAGTAATTCCTGCATAAACGAATCATTGACCAGTGTTTTATAGGAATGAAACGTATATTATTCAACCAATTTGTATCCGAAAGATAAAATTTCAAATATAACATATCATTAGATATTTCTTCATGACTATTTTGTGATATTAGATAATATGTAGAAAGCCCCGTTTGAGATTGATTGTCTATTAGCTAGCACTCAACAACATGATATGTCAAGAATATTGACTGACCCGAAATCTTTGGGTTTCGAATCCTCTCACCTTGTTTCACAATCAGAAAAATTACCACTGAGTTATTCAGAGTACATTTTACCCTTTTTAAGAATGAGATACTGATATTATGTTGTAGTTTACCTAGACCTTTTTAACAATCGAATTCTACTTGAACAAGTCACGTTCCTTAAAAAAGCAGATATATACTCAATCTGAACGATAGAATTCAGTCAATACTCATGTCATAATGACAAAGTTTCGTTTTACTTTTATATAACCTGTATTACGTTTAACTGACGAAATCAACCACAGTCATAAAGAATAATCATTTCTCCCTTAGATAGTTGTAATCAAGCGTCAGAAGGCATTTGATCTATGGTTTATCACGCTTCGTGAAGTGTGTTTTATTTTCCAAAAACTTAAAAATATGCCTTAATAACAAGTGGGGACCATAAATAAAATACCCTTTATTTTTATTTTATGATCAAATGGTGTTCCAATTACTGATAAGATCATTCACATCATAATATTATTTAAAATCTATTTGTTTTCTTTCTTAACTATAGTCTTTGAGCATCCATAACTATTCTTTAGTTAAAAAAACATAATGACCATTATTCATTTAGTTCCAAACAAGTTATCAAACCTTTTAGATCTTCAATGTAAAGAAGAAAAAAAAACGAACGCACCTATTCATTCATGTAATGTATATAAACAAATGAGAAAAAAATACGAATTAATAAGTCAGGAAATCAGTCATCAAAATCTAGAATCGTATTTTGTTATTTACACACTAATCTAAAGGATTATATGAATATAAATTAACAGGAAATGTATTTCAACTGAATAATGGATAACAGATAATAATCTGACATATAGTTGCTTAACGGTTGAATGAATTTGAAGGAATAAAAAACTCTATAGTTCAGTCATATAAACAAATGAAATCGTGTGGTGTTTTTGGTGTACTGCTATATACCACTATGAAATGTTGTTTACATTAATTTTTAATCATAAAACAAGTTGGCAACATATGGAAAATTCATTGTATTCTCCTTGAATGAAGGCTTTTTTAATTCTGTCTATCTGCATGTTCATGATATTACTACAACAACTACTACTAATAATAACAGTAATAATAATAATAGTGCCATTATTCATATAAATGTTAAGAGATATGTGTTGGTTTTAATCTTTCATATCCTAATTAAGAAAATGAAATGAATCTTTGTTCTTTTCTTTGGAGATTTGTATACTATCAAAATCTTAAAAATCATTCATTTTGAATAAGATTTTTAATGAAAGAAATAAACAAACAATAAGAATTTAGAAAGATCCGTTATAGTTGTTAATAAACAAACTAGTGATGTATTTCATTCGTCAGTAAATGAAGTTCATGGGTAATTATATATACAATTTTTAGAAAGAAAAATTTAAAAGACATTGAAAGATTTCAGTGAGCAATCAATTGTAATTACATCTCAGTCCTACAGGAGGTCGCGACTCGGATGGCCCAATGGTAACGTCTCTGACTGTGAAGCTGGGTGACACGAGACCGAATCCGTCAGGGAGCACCAGTTCCCACAAGATTACAGATACACCTTGCTGACGAGTGCCAAGTAGCACGAAACCCGAGTCCAGGGTTTCCTGTTGACTACCTCCAACCACCATCATATCTCAACATAGTGCACGCAATGTTGAGTCACCTAGACTGGTGGCCACATTGCAACATGATCGATAGCATTCGATCTGCACTAATAAGGACTAGACAAGCATGACATTGATCACCACCCAGTGATCAATTAACTGTGATTACATTGAAAGATTTCAGTCTACAATATAGTTAACCATATTCCTTTATTGTAGTCTAAATGACCAGATCTTGACATTTTCTTTGAAAATTACCTTGACATATGCAGTGCAAATGAAATTATTTTCTATGTTAAAAGAGAATCCATATACACATCAACATTTTAATTAGTCGTTTCTGAATTTTTCTTCTATAACTTTTAACAGCCTAGCTAAAATACTGAATTAATAAATGAGTTCTTTGTCATTTCAAGTTTAATCATATGATATGTCTATAGTTTACATCAAGCTGTGACAAGAATAGTAATTACAGAAAATAAGTGTTTGAATATATTGTCTTTCTGGTAGCTTCAAAAAAGTAAATAAATAGTGATCCGAGAAATAGTATTTGAATTTTATCAAAGAAAATGATGTTAACTACAAACTGCATTATTCCAAGGATCTGTTGGGTGATTAAGAATGACCATGAATTGAATGTTTCAGTCATTAATGTCTCTTTTAATATGAAGCTAAATCCAAAGCTATCTGATGCTTGTACGCTAGATTAGATTCGTAATAAGTGGTTAGATTTGGTCAGCAGTGGTATCCAAGACATATATTTCGTTCCGATTGGGACTCATTAGCTAGGTGTATATAAATCACAGATAACATATCCATAATCGTAGTCTTTCCATTTATTTTGTATCAATTTGTGTCTTAACGGTGATATCAAGGCGATCCGAACAGGGTGCTCATATACCAACCAACATTGATCAAAATTCAGCCAAAAGTATCAACAACGGGCTAATTTCAAATTCAATTAAATCTCATACCTGTTTTTACAACTGAGTAGTTATCTGGACTCTGTAAACAACTGGATAACGTGACAGAGCTTAAAGCAAACGGAACTTGGTTTGAGTTGCAGAGTAAACGCCAAGTCTGGGAACAAGCCACATTCAGCTGATGAATTTCAATTAGGACGAAACGCCTGTCCTGTTTTCTACTGCTAGCCACATTCCATCTTTAACCTGTTATTTTACTTTCACTCTGATAAATTAGTGAGAATGCTACTTAAGCATAGATGGTTGTTAGTGATAGTAGTTGCTGTTTTTCCTACCTGGAATATTTAAATTATAGAAGTGGCTAAGAAATACAAAGGTTGTATGAATTTTAGTGCTCTATTAATCAGCAATTTTTGCTAAATAGTGATAGTTAGATGTAGTCAAGATGAATTAAAAGCAACCTATTTCGTTCATCAGAACAATTAAGATGACTTTTATATATCACATAATAAAGAAACGTTGATAATGCCTTTCTTTAAGATGATGAAGGGAATTACATACAAGAATAAATGTTATCTGCACTTTAACAGTAATTTAAGATGAATAAGCTAATCTTTGGTGTAGTTAGTGTCTGTCAAATAAACTGATTACTATGACAAATAATATAAGAAATAGTCCTTGCTTATGTAGAAATATCGTCTATCATTTATCAATGTTTATCGTAATGTTTAGGTACTTTGATTAGTTTTCGGAAATTGAGCCATGAAAAAAACAGGAATCTTGAACTAAAGAGTATAAATCAGTCGTAAAAAACATAGAATCTGACACAAATATTAATAAGTCTTAATTACTGCGCCACATTGACACATCAAGAAAAAAATATCAAGATGAATACTAAAGTATTAAAATTAATGGTAGTATTAGTATCAGTGATAAGTAAAAATAGTAGACATAACCGAACTGAGATACATAATCTGATCTTGACTTTTTACTATACAGTAATGTCGATAAGAAAATATAACTTCAATACATCTAATTATCAATATTATGAATATTGAGAAACCTTAAAGACAAACGACGTAATTGTCTGACTAAGATCACTTGTTGAAGAGGCAGAAAATTATGCATTAACATTTAAAGTATTCCGTTTTAAAAGTAAACTATATATTTTCGATATTAATTTTAAAAATACGAAACTTATTAAAGTTTTTTACTTTCGTTTTTATTATGTATGCATATTGGCCATTATTTTAATGATTTTAAAGCCAAATCATTTTGCCCAGTTTGTTTACATTATCTATTCATATTCAAAATAGTTTGTTTAATTGGATATTTCCACAATTGTTATACAATACGGACTCAAGTGAACAGCCCTACAAATATTACTATACATAAGATGGATGGTGGCTAGCAGTGGAATCCAGGATGCGCATTCCATCCTATTTGGGACTTGTCAACTGGATGTACCTGCATCTCAGAGCTGATGTTCACTTCAGAGCTCGAACTCAGTACCACTTGCTCTAAATGCCATCGCGCTATCCACTTAGATATTGAGTCCTGATGGTCACTAGTTTGTGCAATGGGATCAAAGGCAGAAATAACTGAATATATCATGCAAATCTACATTAATTCGAGTTATCACACTTCACATCGGCCTCTTACGTCTATGTAAGGTTTCACTAAGGATAAACACATATGAGATGAGGTCCTCGAGGTATCTAAAGTTATCAGTGAACTCAACTCCTTCAGTTAAAATCAAACTAGACCTTACATTTGAAGGGTGATCAGTACTTAATAGACATTATCAGTAGAATTTTAGAGAAGACGAAACTTCACCGAGGGGAATCAATTTATCTGCTTACTCCAAATTAATTAAGCAATCTTTTGAAGATTCAGATGTAAAACGAGTTACTTTTTGTAATATATTTATTAATAAGGACAAATCGAATGAAAACTCATACTGAATATTACTTAATATGAACAGACTAGATAATAAACCACCGAATGTGCATCAGAACAAATAATCAAATTAGGTAAAGTTTATCACATTTCAATATTAAGGAAACCCTAGTAAATAAATAATTAATTCAACCAGAAATTTGTTCCACTTATGCACAAGCTGATACAGTGCACATTGTTGCGTTAAGATCCGATTTCGTATAAAGGATTTTGTCTATTGAATAAAGAAAACCATTTGTAAATTGATAAGGTCCATTTAGCGATAATAATTGAATTTTTTCGCCTTGATATGTGAATACACCCTCTGTAAGGAATTAAAATAATGTAAGTTGAAAAAAATACAAAAAAAACATAAGTTGTGAAGCAGCGGTATAAGTAAACAACAAGAGTATTGAAATAATTCATAGAAATAATCATTTCTTTGGATGTTCCTATATAAAGGAAATATTAAGGTTATTCATCACATTTTTAATGATTTTGTTAATTCTGTATAAAACAATATGTTCGACAACCCAATCAAAGGTTAACAAGCACCTTTTTCATGCTACCGCCAACTGTGTTTATAAATTTATGTATACCTGCCAAAGCAGATACATTGGCCAAACAGAAAGGAGGGTATATCTTAGATTTTTTGAGTTTTTTCCAAAAAGCCCTAGAACAAGAGAACGAACGACTCTAAACAGTGCAATTACTGAAAATCTCTTGGATACAGGACATCAGGTCGATACCTTGTAATCTATCAAGGTGATTACTAAACAGTCAAACTCCAATCTTGTGAGGTTTACTGAAGCCTTTGCTATCAGGCGTCAAAAATCTGATTTATGTGTTCAAAAGAAGATGGTTACTGATATTTCCTTGCATTCGTGACAACTATCCCTTCGTTGCATCTAAAAACTTTTTCTTGCATTTATTACATTATTGAGTTTTTTATTTCGACTGTCTTCTTGATTAGTAATCTTATTTTGTTGACTGAGCTTTACTCATTTTATTCTTATCAGCGTTTACTTATTATATAATCATTTGTTCTTAGCCCTTTGGACTTGCTATAATCACTGTTGTAGAATGTTCTTTTACATAGGGTATTAATTTGCAATTTTCAGTCCATTAAATTTATTTACACCCTTGCCATACTATACCAATGTGCCTTCAACGTAACTTCCAACAAAACTCTTCCATGTAAGTAATTTAAACCCATTTCCTAATAATGTTTTAAATATCACCGGCTGCAAACAGCTGACGAGAACCAAACGAAATGAAATGAATTCATGCTATTCTGCTAGAATCTTTGTTCTTGCTCTTTTCAAAATGATAAAGAGATCTATGTGTATGAAATGTTGGAACAGTCAGAATCCTGGAATAGCAGATTTTGGGATTATAAAATTTATCAAACACAAGAACATTAAGAAAGTCTTGTAGCTCTATAACACGTCATGTAAATATTTCATTAAAAGACTTTAATCCCAAATTCAACAACTCTTAACCTTCATATATGGATACTAATGAGAAATTTCAACAAATCATCAACCTAACAAAGTGTTCGTCTTGATAATTACAAACTTAACTGTTTCTCCACATGTCCAATAATATTTTTTTCCAGCAACCGTAAAGTGTGTTGTACCAAAATCCTTTATGATATCTTAATCTTATAAGCATTGGCTGACACTTCTTATATTGATTAATTGGTAAATTGATATAGTTTAAGTGTTAACTACTTATTGATATGACCAGCTATTGAACATTCAATTAATAATAAAAGTTGATAAGTTAACCAGTCTGACTCAAAACTATCAACAATACTAATTCACTTGGTATTGTTTTACTTGAATCTTCCCATTGATGTTTAGGACTGCAATAAATCAGTCTCTTATTGGCAAATATGCATACTGTGCGTATTACTTCGATATTACCTTAATTTACAAGCATTATAAGCAAAGATGGATAGTGACTAGCAGTGGAATCCAGGATGCTGCACAAGCAAGTGGCTATTAGGACTCAGTAGGTAAGTGGATAACGCGATAGCGTTTGAAGCGAACGGTACTGACCTCGAGTCCCAGAGTGAACATCAACTCTGAGATGCAGGTACATCCAGCTGACAAGTCCCGAATAGGATGAAACGCGCGTCCTGGCTTCCATTGCTAGCCACTATCCATCTTTACTTACAATGTCAGCAATATTATTATCTATGAAAGTATTTGTTATAATCTCTTTATCTTACGGTTATGACCCAGCTATTCCTATTGCTTAATATTCTTGGACACCAAATCACTCGACAAGTCCCCAAATCAGAACACGGTTGAACAGGAAAGAGATTATATTCCAAATAATAAAGTTAGATGGAAGTAAGATGCAAGTAAGAAGCACAATAGGGAAAACGTCAGTATACTTATAGTTTTTACATGAAAAGATTTTAGAGTATTCTCCAACTATCGACTAGTGCTGATTGGATAACAATTAGCCAATCAGCGTGCAGCAAAGCAATCGTGCATTGAGCAGGCTTTAATCTAGTCTATATCCCGCTAACAGTATTATAAGGCACTACTTGTACAAAAAGCTCTTTTTGAAAACGTTGACAAGATTTGTGTTAAATTTATCATATTTCTTCGTAATTCAACCATTTAACTAATCAGTGAACAAAAGTTTACTTTAGGTAATATCAGATAAAATTTTAAGCTGTACACGATACTGATCAAATCAAGACTAATGAAAGATTGTTGAGGATTGATGTTAATATACCTAATATTCACAAATGATTCAACGAAATAATTATTACATTTCTCCAATCGTGATCATAATTAATTATTTAAGAAAATAATTCAATATGATTAGTATGTAGTTCACCTTCATCAGAATTCTTAGAACTAATGTCCAAACGTAATTGTTCACGCGTGAATGCATAATTTGCTGTGGACACATAATACACTTTACGTATATCCAAATCTTGAATTATCAAGTCAAGTGGAAATGTATTTCGGCGAAACACCTATAAAAAAAATAAAGTATGGCTTTATATATATATATAGAATCTGAAAGAAGTGATTTAGACTGTCAAAAAGCAAAGTTGTTCATTGTTTAACTTGCCCGTATGTATTTCATTACTTTTATGATGTAAGTAGTTTACGAAAACAATTTTCATAAACAGATAATATGATATTTATGTACGTAAGAATATACCAAGTTAGCTTGTTGTTCTAGTATATTTGAATAGCTACACAATGTAACTTATCTATCCTTTGAGTAGTTGCTTAATTACTAGTAGTGGTTGTTCGTTTAAAAATGATCGATCTTCGTTCTCTGAATGCCATCATGGATCACACCATCTGTAGTTCAGATTTAGTGCTGCTGATCTAACTCTAAAAACGTTGGTGTAGAGTAAACCGATTCAAGTGGCTCTATTGTGTAGTCGCAAAAACTGACTTAAAATATTTGGAAATTCTCGATATTCAATGATTGCTACCTTTAGAAAACCATTTGTATTTAGTAAGGACATCATGAACATGAAAAATCATCCCCGTTTATGACCTAGATCATCATTCGGTACTTGTTGCCATTTTGAATTCCTGGTTTTAGTGGTTTTAAGACTTTTTATAAATGTTCCGTTAATGGCCTTCACATTGAGTACTATTTTTGACTCTATTACTGATTAAAATCCAGAAAAATCGTCAGCTTACCACTACAATGTATGAAGGATATTTATGTATGGTAGTTTCCACCGACCTATTGCAGCTTTATACATGTGACTGCGGAGAGTATGAAACTCGTAGATCGCACACGTCATTATATTTGACTTAGAATGTGAACTAATGTAGAACTTTTCATTTGTTTCTGTTTTGTTCTTCATAAATAGTCGGCTGTACCTCCCTCAATTTGGTTGAATTAATTCCATAGATCACAGATTCTCGTCAGAAATCCAGGACATCCGTTCCAATACACATCGACTCAATGTGATAAAAGTTGAATGTTCATAGTTTGGTAAATTGTCATCTCAGAAAAATTCAAAAATATATCAGTCGTTTGATTTGGACTCAGTAACTGAGTGGTATATTTATGATTATAAGATCTATAAATTCTGAGTTTGATTCCACGTCTAGGTGTAACTAATGAGTAATAATAAAAAAGTATCAAATAAAGACACAGCAGTCATTCACCGATCCTCAGATTAAAATGATCATCCAATGAAGATTATCTTCGTATTCACATTCATTAAAACACTTATTTTACTTGCATAATTGTTTAATAACAATAGTATTATTTCCCTACAAAATAAAAAAGCTACTCACAAAATCTTTTCGAAGTTTATCAGTTAACAGTTTTCTCCCCACTTCATTGTCATTATTCATAGAAGTCATAGCTTGATTTGTTGGTACTAGAAATGTATATGGTTCACCAATAGTCATTGACTGAACAAAACCTGTATTGTAATATAAACTAAAATTAAATGATTAAAATTAGATCACAACAATAAATCTTATCAATTACATTAAAATATAATCTTTCAATGTATTAAATGATTTAGTTTAATTAAAGCGTAAATCTTTTTATTAGAAGCATCAAAGATTCCAATGAGCCATAGAAACCTTTTCGATGAAACAACACTGGCGAGACTCTAATTTATGGACGAGCCAATCAGAAGCCTTTTAGAGATTTAAAGCCTTTCATGCATTCAGCTAAATAAACTTCTGGCATTATAGCTGATGTCAGTTCGTGATGAAAATCCCACATATAATTTCTAACTAAAGCAAACTACTACAATTATTGTGAACTGGATAATAAAAGCACCAGTAACACTGGCTGTAGCCAGGTACTACAATAATACGGATGTTTGGAGAGCGTACAGACTCCTACATAGGCTTGGTTATCTGCACCGTGTTGTGATCCACAAGTGGCATTTTGTGTACTCCACAAGCGGAGTGCGCACAAACAATCTTGAAGCTATGTGGTCGAGGCTGAAAGAGCTTTTGAGACTTTATAATGGCTCCAGAGGTCGACTATTCTGTATCCATATGGATGATTTCCTCTACTGCATGCATTACGACTTTAGAACCTCTGAACCTCTTTCTAACCTTGAAAAGTTTTGAGCCACGTGTAAGAAGTGTATCCACTTTATTTCCTTGGTTTTGTATAACATCTTTTTACTCCATACTGACTGTTTGCTGATTGGCTAATATTTCTCAAGGTCACTTTAGATTCATTCAAAGGTCGTCTATAAATTAAAGTCTCGCCACAACTTTCATTATAACAGTAACTGAAATAACAAAAAATAACTGTAGAAACTAAAGTACATCAAAAACTGAACGGTTCATTATGGAAACCTTTCAAAATGCATCAAATTATTAGATCTATAATATGTTTATAAAAAAAGATAATCAGTGTTGAATAATTATTGAAAGGTTTGATGCAGTTAGTCTTACCAAACCGAATGTTGATTTTTTTGTTGGCTTTTAATGCAATTAATTAATTCATCAAAAAAAACTTACTTAAAATCAGGGATTCTAGCTACATATTGTTGAACTGTTTCATATGGTAAGCCTGGAATAGCATCAATAGTATGAATAATACCGTTGGTTGCCACTTGATTAGCATTGATAATACGAGATGCAACATAGCCTTGATTTGGTAATCGAGCTTCAATAAAAGTAGCTAAAAAAAATAATCCACAATATAAAAAGTTGTTTACTCATTCAATTATTAACTTTCATATAGTTTAATTGACTAAATAACAAATATTATATTTTTGTAGACCTTCCGTTCTAATTCGTCAATAATCTAAATATGTTTTACTGATGAGTATCGATTAGCACGAAACCTAGATTTACAATTTTTTGCCATGTGCCATCAATCAACTAACATTATAACATGACTAAAGGTGTACTATTGTCTAAAATGTCATTTTATATGGAATTTGACAAATAATTTACATAAAATAAAAGCTGTACAGAGGTTAAGTAAAGTATTTGTTGATTATATGTACTGTAGAAATATCAATATAAAATAACAAATCCCAATTAACGGATCTGATAATATTGAATTAACTTGATAGTTATTGTAAAAACAAGAAACAAAATATCTGAATTCATTCTTAATATACAAATACTTACTTAATTAGTTGTGACACTTATAGTCTCTCATAATTTAACATTTTATTAATGAAAGAAATAGAGACTGAAAATAATGTTTACTCAGTAAACTGGATTTCAATGTAAAATTATTCACAATATATAATAAACGGTTAAAGAGAGGTGTTAGTGCATAAAAAACCATGGTATATTTTTCCTAACGCTTTATAAAGTTATTCATTAATTCAAAAGGTAACTTAGAACTATCAGTTCTTTTTTTCTAAATAACACTACATAAAATAGATATGTCACAAAAATATGAAAAATTGAACATAGACGAGAGATTTAATCAATTTCATTATTATTATTATTATTTAGACATTATGGGACAACTCAATAATTTTCAGTGGTTTTTTAATCAACTCTAAACCATCATGATAAATACTTTTAAATCATCCCAAATCTTCTCAAACCCATCAAAACGACTTTCCGACGATTGTTCATCCGGTGCAATAAACAAATTTAGAGGTAGAAGCATTCACATTATAATGCTCCCTCATGATCAGTCATTTAAGTTTTTTTTCATTTTTTTAATTTACTAGACTCAAGTGTAAACAGATTATAGAATTATGTGTTACTTTTGAATTGTGAAATAGCCAATAATCAGAAGAGATAGTTCAAATGTTACTGTTGAATGAAACATTGTACTATTAAGTGGAAACAGAATTAAGCAATTGTATGTATTATATTTCATCCGATACACAAGTTGTTTTTAATCTTATAAAGGTTAATTATTTTCGTGTGTATTAAACCTACCAACTCATTGCAATATGATGAAAATGACTTGTAATTTACAAGATTTCATCTAATCAATTTTATATTTTAATTAACCATATACTTCCCAATGCTTACATATACTTAAACAAGGATTTTGTCGATCTTCCCTTATTAAACTGCTGTGAAACGACAGAGAAATAATTGAAAATAACATAGACCGTACTACACTTACACTGATCGGTTATTTTAAAGCGGATAGCATCTTCTAACTTTTCAATAGGGATACGACGATTTAATGTCATTTCAGCTTGATATAACTTCATAGGTAAAAATAAATATTTAAGATAAATTGCCTTAAAGGAAAAAATAATGAAAAGGGGAAAATCATTATAAACTTTAATGTTCAATTATTGACTATCTAATAATAATAATAACAATAATAATAATAATGAATAATCTTAATATTTCCTAATAGAGAAATAAAATATTTAGGTTTATTTACAAGGTTACCAACTTCAAATGATTACATAATAGCAAAGACAATGTAAGTAGTTTATTAAAAAAAGATTTAAGAAATAATATTATGCATGTAAATATTGAGTCATTTATTGAACCATGCTTAATATTGAAAGGGGTTCGAATCAATATTTTATGCACCGCAGAGGCATTGGCAACCCACAAACTCAAGCCTGAACTTTGCGTGCAGAAACGATTTGTCCAACCTCTCATCCTTCCTTGGCCCTAAATCCCTCAATGAGTATGTTTTTTCTTCACTTTAAACTCTAATAATTTATTATTATCTTACACAAGTTTTCTTTTTTTTTATTATCATTCACTTTATTATTATGACCTTTGTGTTTGTCGCTTTTCTTCATATTTGTCAATTGAACTGTTATCTGACCCATAAACGATTTTCTTCCTTACCCCTTGATTAGTACGTTAACCTCATTTGTTATTTATTCTCGAATCCATTTTGGTGATGCAATTTTTTCTATCCTCCTATAGACATATATTGACTAGTATTTTGTTGATCAAGAAAGTGTTCTGAATAGTGTCAATTAGTCAATCAGTCAGCTATAACGTAAGATCAAGCACATACATGCATCGGTCCAAACTGCCATACCTCATTAGCACAATAAGATGAACACCGGATTCATAAAAGTAGTTACTTCAATGTTAGTAATGCATAACAAAAGATTGTATATAAGGATATGATACGGGGAAAAATAATTAGTTCGTAGAAAGTATAAAGTGAGTTTGATCTCATGGTTCAAGGGAAGACAAAGAGTGTATACACTAACGCCATTGTAGTAGATTCTGAGCCATGTCAACCAGAGTCCCAACCATTGGTTACGATAGTCACGCGGACACCAACCGAGTAGTCTGCATCTACCAACATGGCTCAGGCTAGAAGTTAGTGACTTCAAGCATTGATGCCACGTTTTGGTTTGGCTGCCCTAACATTCTTCCAATCATTTCCAACACCAGTCAACATTGCGCGTTGTGGTAACCGGCGTTCCAGGCATACGTAACAGGTGGCCCAACCATCTCAGTCAATGAAGATTCACAACCTCATCAATGATTTACCATCATTCCCTAATACCATGCATCTAACCTCACTATTACTTACCCGGTGAT